TGGGCTAGCTACATGAGACTGTAGCCGAGTAAGCGCTTGCCTGGTAAGCACAAGGGCCCAAGTTCGATCTCCAGTACAAAAAATAAATAAATAAATAAATAAGGTGTGTGTTTAAATTTAATACCGTATAAAGTACGTTGCTATTAATCCCTCTCAAACTATTTCCCCTTGTTTCTTGCACACTTACCTCATGATCTTGATGCTTTCTGAAGCAGTTCTGGAAGTCTTGTTTTGTGAATGTGTTTAGTTGTGGTGTCCTCATGCCTTGATATCCTCAAATGAGTCAAAGTTTTCACCTTTCATGGTCACTTGGGGAAGAGCCCGAAGTCTCATGATGTCACAGCAGGTGAAACAGGTTATTTTGGACACAAAATAATGTTGTTACAGGCCTGCCTTTCCAGTGGGTGGGTTTGACAGCAGCATTCACTGTATTTGTGATCACACTGTGTAAAGACCCAAATGAGGGCTTCCAGAACTACAGAAAATGTCCATTGTCTTCTAGGGGTTTGGGGGGTTATGTCTTGGGCGGGTGTATTTTGTGCTAGAGGACTATACTGGGACTCTCTATTTGGTTTGGTTTGGTTTGGTCTTTTGATTATAGGATCTCACAATCACTAAGTTACCCAGAGCATGAGTATGTAGGTGTGTGCCAGCCTGCTAGAGTGCCCACTTTAATATCTTACGTAGTGTTCCCACAGGAATCGTGACTGACTGAACAGATTTTCCTAGGAACCCATTAACTATAAAAGGTATCTTCAAATTTAATGGCCTTCAAGTCTCTTGAATTGTATAGGAAGAGGACAGTGTAAACACAATCAGTAACTGAATATATGGGGCAGAGAAGGTAGACTTAGTTCACTCATGTTTGCCTTGGACTTCTAGGGCTCCACTGTGGTAGGTCATGGGCAACAAAGAGATAATACTTTTTCATGAAAGATTTTACTGAGAGGTAGATATGCCTGATGTCAGGAGTATAGAAATGGGCTTTCTCCTAGATACTTGGTGGGAATAAGAATCAGAAAACCTTTGATTTAAATTGGATAGCTATCATTATCTGTCTTAAAGCTTAAAAAATTGTATAACCTTTGACTCAACCATTTTATTTCTAGGAAACTTACTTGAGGAAGTAATTGATACTGTAGTGTATATGGGAAGGAAAATAGCAAGATAGAAACCCTGATGTGGCACAGCAGAGTCATTTATCCTCATGTGTAAAGGGTACAAAGAGGGCCTTGTACTCCATCTTAGGGTACCTTGTATGGGGTTGCTGTTTGGCCCTGTCTTGCATTTGTTCCTTTCTCCCAATCTGTGTGGCTTTCCCTGGGAGTCCATATTGGAAATAGCAAGGCTTAGGCAGGTATTTGCAACTTTTCAAAAATATTGCATGCAAACTAAACATGTAAAACAAAATACCAACTCTTGCTGATTGTTTGGAATTTGATCAGTTCAATTTAGTAAGGTTGGGCAACTCTTGTAAATGATAAAGGGACCAAGAGAGAGAGTGGAGAAGGAGAAATGAAAAAATAAAACAAAATGTGTTGTTACAGACACCAGCTACCCACACTGAATTCAGTCATGTGCTGCAAACATGTACTAGTAAAGTAAAAATTTTAATTAAAAAGTACGTAGTAGTAGTTATAGTCAGCAAGTTTTCAGTGCTGCTTCATAGGTGAATTTGTTAAAACACTGATAAACATGGTGTAGTGCAAAGTACATACTTGGATCATAGTTTAGGTCTGATCTCTGTTATTGATTGATCAATTGGATACTCTTAGGGAGGTTACATAACCCTTGTGAGGTATGCAGTTCCCACTTTGACAAGTGAGGTCAATAAAACTGTTAAATAACTACTATATAAAGCTGTATGAAATGATAGTTCAGTCTTACCAACAGGCTGTTCCACATGTTTTGTGTGTATATATATTAATATATTTAATCCTTTCAGTAGCTCTCAGGTGAGTCCACTTGTTAACCCCATTTTATAGATGAGGAAATTGAAGCACAGGAAAGTTTGATACCCATGTCATACACTGAGTCATGGATGAAAGGAGTTAAATCCAGATCCTAAAGTCTGGCACCTGATCTCTTCACTGTTTCACTCTGGCCTTTCCAGCCAGAGCAGTTCACTGTTCTTGGTAGTTCATCTTAGGGCACTCTTAGTCTTTAAGATAAATTCTTTTTAAGATAAATAAGGTATTTGTAGGGATAAAGGATTGAAGACTGCTGTCTTAATCCTAGATTTGGTAAGCTAGGAGCCAAAATGTTTATATGTCATAAGATAGGCAGGGAATAATTGTCTACTGTATTAACTAGACAGTTAATATTCTGTTTATATTCTGCTTCGAGAACTGTATCTAGCACATTAAGAACTTTTCTCCAGAGTAATTATCTAAAATAGAGATGTGGGTACAGGGATGTGAATTGGCTTAAGACATTATTCCTCCTGGGAAGTGTCTGTTCATTTCCGTTGCCCATTTTTATTGGATAGTTTATTTTGGAGGTGCTGATCTTTTTGAGTTCTTTATATATTCTACATATTAGTCCTCTCTCTGAGGAATAGCTGGCAAAATTCTTTTTCTCATTTTATAGGTTGTCTCTTTACTCTGTTGGATGTTTCATTTCTGGTGCAGAAGTTTTTTAATTTGATATGACTCCATTTGTTGGTTCTTGTGCAATTGGAATTCTTTTTTTTTTTTTTTTTTAACCAGGGATCAAACTCAGGCCCTTGCGCTTGCCGGGAAAGTGCTTATTCTACTGAGCCATCTCCCCAGCCCCTGGAATTCTATTTAGAAAGTCCTTGCCTCCATCTGTGTCTTCAAGAGTTTTAGCTACTGTATCTTCCAGAAGATTAAGTGTTGTAACATTTAAATCTTTGATCCATTTTGATTTTGGCTTAAGTACATGGCAAAAGATGAGGTTCTAGATTGTATCTTCTCAAGTAGATAGCTAGAAGTACAAATAGCCAGTACATGAAAAAAAGTTTAGCATTTGTGACCAAAGAAGTACAAGTTAAAACAACACTGAAATTCTGTCATACTACAGAAAGAATGGCCACCCTTACGAACTTAGGTAATAACAAATGCTGGTAAAGTGGCAGGGGAAAAAAAGAAGAAACCCTCCCACATTGTTGGTGGGAGTGTACACAAGTACAAACTATGAAAATGAGTATGGAGACTCCTCAAAAAACTGAAAGTAGAAATTCTGTTCAGCTCACCTATTCTTGAAATTGTCTTCTCAACAAGAGTTCAAGACATCATGTTGCAGTGATACAAACATACCCACATTTACACCTGCACAATTCATAATACATAAATCTTAGAAGTGGCCCAAGTGTTCCTCAGTAGGTGAATAAAGATAATAAGACACTTACAATGGAGTAGTACTCTGCCATAAAGAAGGATCAATTCAAAGTCATTTGTAAGAAAATGATTGCATCTTGAGAACACAATGTTAAGTGAAGTAGCTCAGGCACACAAGTTTAAATATTACATGGTTTCTCTTATAGGAGAAACCCAAAATATATAAGTAGATAGATAGATAATAGAAAAACCTTTTGCAAAAGGGAAAGAAATGAAGAGATGGAAGAAGGAGAGGCGGGGAAAGGAATGTTACACGCATGTACAAACTCACTACAATGATTGTAGCCGTTGTGTCTGCAGATGTGTCCTAATGTAAATATACAAAAATAAAAGTTATGTGTAATCTTTATAAAAGATGTTAACATACATTTGCCAACTTCCCTTGAGGAATGTAATCATGTACAGCAAACATGTACCAATAAAAAATTGTAAAGATATTAGTTCCTCCTGTAAGTACCAAGAAGGTTTAGAATCTTAAGCTATCCACAAGCTCATGAAACCAATAGTTTTTCATAGGCAAGGCAACCACATGTGTTTTTCCAATCATTAATAATGAAACAGTAACTTGACCTGGCTAAAGGCAAAAGGACATAAAGATCCATGTTTTTAATTCCCCTCACTGACCTTTTGGTAGAATTTTAGATCTAGAGAAAGAAACCAATACTCAGACAGTCAAGTAAGTTGCTTGCCCAGATGTGCATACGCAGTGGCGGCCGCCCTGGCTGCCTGTGCGCCGCCCTTCCCCAGCACCACCCAGAATGCTTAGGGAACTTCGCAGCCTGAGTCCTTCAGCACACACTGAATGCACATCTACCATCTGGAAATCTTGCACGTACTCCTGAGTGTGTGACAATGAAAAGTTCCTCACCCGGTCCCAGGCCGCAGACGTGGAACTAGACAGTATGGTATGGAAGAGTATTACAGTTGAAGTGCTTTTTCTTTTTAATCTTATATTGTCATCCTACCAAATCATAAACTCCTTAAAGGGCCCAGCCCTTGTGTGCGTTAAGTGCTTTGCATAGACAGTGGTAAATAATTCTTAAAGGGGGGAATCAGATAACTCATAAAATAGCAGTCCTGAAGCAAGGTGCAAAACACTTAAAAAAAATTGTTTTGTAGATGTTATGGTCTGTGTCTCCATGTGGTGATGGGTGGGGCTTCTCAGAGGTGGTTGGATCTAGGGTGTGTGCCGCTGTTATCAAGGTTGGGATGCTGGCATTGATCAGTGTTGTGATTGAGGCCGCCCCGCCCAGGCTGTGAGTGCCACCTGCCCACAGGGTGGGTAGCCTTGGTACGATAAAAGGGATGGAAAGAAGGTCTCTGACAGTCCCTTGTAGATTGCCACCTTCTGCCTGCTGTGAGCTGTTTCTCCTCTGACGCCCTCCACCAACCCGCCCGCCCCGCCTTGGAACCAGCCAAGTATAAGCTGAAATCTCCACAATTGAGCTAAATAGACTTTTCCTCCTTTAACTTTAGGCTTTGGGTATTTTATGTCAGCAACAAGAAAGGTAACTAAGACAGTAAGTAACATTGACACACCTAATAAATTCATAGGCAGCTTGCACTGATGAGATATAAAGATAGGGGTGTGTGTGTGCATGCTAAAGCGCTTTTCCCTTGCTTGCTGTTTTCACAGAGCAGTTGATAATCACGTTACTATGAGTCTGTTAAACTGTGAAAACAGTTGCGGATCCAGCCAGTCTGAAAGTGACTGCTGTGCCGCCATGGCCAGCTCCTGCAGTGCCGTCCTGAAAGATGACAGCGTGAGCGGGTCGGCCAGCACCAGCACGGGGACCCTCTCCAGCTCCTTCATGGAAGAGATCCAGGGGTATGATGTGGAGTTTGACCCGCCCCTGGAGAGCAAGTACGAGTGTCCCATCTGCTTGATGGCCCTGCGGGAAGCCGTGCAGACACCGTGTGGCCACAGGTTCTGCAAGGCCTGCATCATCAAGTCAATCCGGTACGTGGACCTAAGGAAGAGCGGTGTCCTGTGGCAGCCAAGTGCGAGAACTCACATCCTGGTGAGAGTCTTAGACGTGAAAAGCTACAGAGAAAACAGCAGGCAGAAGGGCTTACAGTTAGGACTCATGTGCCATTTCCCACTGTGGCACGAAAAGTGACCCCTCTCTCTTCCCCTCCCCTGATGGTCAGATCAGTGAGAAAGCATATGGCCACTTCTACCCCAAGTGATTTGAGTGCTTGCCAGGTGAGAACTCTCTATGTGATGTTTCTAGTGCACCTTAAACCATCCTAGTGGAATATGGTCATCTCAGCCACACAGAGAATACTGATGCTATAAGTGATCGGTTATTCTGGTTTTATCTGTGTTGAAGGTTGCTATTTAATATCTTTTTTAAAAAAGAAGAAACAGTGAAAACCATTATATAGAATTTCAAAACAAGGTATTAGGAAATTAACTGTGGTTATTCTGTCACATATTGTTGTCTTCATAGTAGTTGCTCAGATTACGAGATACAGGCATGCAAACTTGATCAAACATTGTAAGCACAAACTGTTCCTTTCAACAAACTAATAGAAACTAGTAGTATAATTGTCTTAGCGCTCTTGTATGTGTATGTGTGTATGCGTATTTTCTGTGAGCACTTGTAAAATAACTAGTACTGTTCAGGCAGGCCTAAAGTGAAGGCTCTACTTTTTCACTCAGTATATCCATAATCTGGTCTGTCTTCACTGCTTCCCACATGTGTTCGGAATCGCCACCAACTCTGGCTGACCTTCCTACTTGCACTGTCACCTTCTGTCTGGCTCACAACAGCATCTGCAGTGAACCTATGTACAGCAAGATGGTGGCACCGCTGTTCACACACTGCAACGGGTGTCTGGGAATGAACCCCAGAGCCCTGGCAAGACCTCTGTGTCGGCACATGGTTAATGTTCCAACCTCCCCTCTACTCGGTTCATGTCCTTTCCATTCATTCTTCGTTTGCCGTTCGTAGACCAAGTCGAGTGTACTCTTGCCCTGTGACTTGCTCTGGCTGCTCTCTGCTTGGAGCGTGCTTGCTAGGTCTGAACACCCGAATTCCCTCCAGAATGGCTCTTCCCTCCCTGACAGGCTCGGTGGCACCCTCTTACTGTGCAGCATGCCTCTGTCCTCCTTTCCCCAACATGCCTGGTCTTCTTGGGCAGGTTCTTCTTTCTCTTTGCAGTGCTTTGCCTTCTAAAACATGAGGTAATTTTATCTGCCTGCCCCACCGGCAGGGAAGCTTGTTGGGAGCAGAAGTCTTTTTCATTTCTTGCTGTTCCCCAAATGCCAGAAACAGCACCCTGCCCACCTTAGGTGGTTGGCAAGTGTGGTTGTTTTACCTCAAATGTATGGGATTTTCACAGATCATTCAGCTTCATCTCTTGGGGAAATAGATACATTTTATTATAACTCAAAAGTAAATGGGAATATTTTGTATGACAAAGCCGTTCATTATAGGACCAAAAAAACATTGCAAGGGGATCTACATGCTTCAGTAATAGCCATCTACTATATCAGTGAAATCATTCCTAAGTAGGTTAAATTTTTCCGTGACTAGTCATTGGCCTTGTAAGTCTTTATCTTTCAACTGTACACTAACTTTTCTAGAAAACTCTTTGGACTTGGCTTTACTGCCAAGAAAGGTGTGTCTGTTTCAGTTTTGGGAGAGAGCTGTTGCCTTCAGTAGGATTCCCGAGATCTGGTTCTCAGTGCCAGAGCCGCTGATGCTTTGCGTTGGAGTAGATTTTCCTTCATGTGGAGAGGCCAGTGTGTGGTGAGAGCGTTAGCCGCCTGGTCTGTGCCTCCCAGATGCTAGTAGTGTCCACCTGCCCCCGGCAGCAAGAGCCACACTGCCGCTTGGGGGCAAAACCACCCCTAGTTGAGGCCACTGGTTGGGGGGGGGGGGGTGAAACCATGGCACGCGTGCCGTAAGTGTTTGTTTGATTGGAAGCTCTCAGAGGTTCACCATCACTAGGTTAGTGTGTACAGGAGAACAGTGTTACAGGGCCGACTTTTTTTTTAATCTAACAATATTTAGTTATACTTAGGTTTTTAAAAAAGTACAATGAATTGTTGATTTTCCTGTAGGTAGATGTGTATTTTATCAAGTGTCACCCATGCACAGGAAGGTAGTTAATCTTTAGCATCTTTTTATTAGCAGAATATGTTTGAAAGTAGTGGGACAGTGGTATGAAAAGGAAGTAAAACTTACAAACGGAAATCCTAGGCTTTTCCCCCACTACCAACCTCTGAGCTATAAATGGCCACCTCTTTTGTGTCTAATGTTTTTGAAGGAGAGGCTGTAAAATTTTTCACTGGTTATAGTCATTCAAGGAATTAAAATAATTCTCAATTTAAATCCATTTTCTTTTGCAGTAGTCGGTACTACTTTGGATAGTAATTTTTAGTTTACTTTGTAAGTCTTTTCTTTTAGAAGATATATATCACTTAGATATTTTAGCTTGGGGTATATATCATTAAATTTGCTTACTACTTCTTGTGTTATTAGACTGTATTTGACAGTGTAATAATTATGCTATCTGAGAAAAGGACCATAAGATTACCCTTGTCTCTCACCTTTCTGAGGTATAAAGCACTGGACAGCCCTGGTTTCCAGTCACCTTTTTGTCTGCCTCATCAGCCGTTGCTCTTGAGCACAGAAGAGGTGCTCAGGCAGGGTTTGAGTGATTGCTGAAGGTTCCCAAAGCCAATCTAGCCTGTCACACATTATGACTAAAGGTTGAGACATCCCAAAACCTAAAGGAATGACGGGACCCCTGCTAAGCTCACAGATGGTTTTTCCCATTATAAGATGAGAGGCAGGCAGACAGACTGATCAGTGGGAAGTGTGATCCAAGGCACCTGGTGGGAGACCTCGTAGCATTAAGCTTCACTGTGGCTGAGCATGTGCTAGAGACACGGTACCAGTGCTGGGGGCGGTGTGGTCCATCTTACTAGGGCACTGCTGTCGTATGGAGGCCAGCCACACCGTCAGCTTTCCCGTTCTTTACTGTCACATCATCATATGCCCATCAAAACACCGTTGTATGCAATAAGCGCTTGTCATTTTTGAGCTGGAATGTACCCCACAATCTAAAATCTCAGTTCATAAATTATCCATAGAAGAGTTTATTTTGGTGTTATTATGGAATATACTATGTCAATCTTATTTTGTATGATAAATTAAAGTCAGTTTATAGAATGTGAATGTTTAAATCGGCTGATTTAATACATCTCGTTGCTTTTAGGGATGCAGGTCACAAATGTCCCGTTGACAATGAAATACTGCTGGAAAATCAGCTCTTTCCTGACAATTTTGCAAAACGCGAGATTCTTTCTCTCACGGTGAAGTGCCCAAATGAGGGCTGTTTGCACAAGATGGAGCTGAGGCACCTAGAGGTACTGACACTGTTCCCTGGCTGGTGGTATGCATGCCAGCGGTTCTGAAGAACATGATCGTGCTGTGTTCATTTGTGTATTTCTAGTACTTAGACTTTGATGACTGGCTTCTAAATTTGTGCTGAATGAATATTAACCCTTCCATTTTTAAATATGAATATAAGAAACTAGGAATTTGTAATTCATTTTACTCTAGCTTCCCCAGCAAGAATAAAAAATCAGTGTTCTACAAATTTGAGGGGGGTAGGTATTATGTAGAATAAAACTGAAGGAGAGCACTTTGAATTCAGGTGTCATGTTTTAATACAGTAACCTCAGGGCTTTCGTTTGGAATACACAGTGAGCCCCATGTAACTATTGTGTCCGTACCTTCACTGGACTTTTTTCTGTTTTTCTGAATTGTGCATTTTATTATGAACGAAATGATGTGCTCATTTGATATGAACTGAAAGTACCAGATAATATAAGAATATGTTCTTAAATTAAAATAAATCAATTCTTAATTTGGTGACTTTTACCAGAAATAAATATTTTTAATTATATTTAAAATCAAGTGTTTAAGGCAGGTTTACAGTGTGTCCCTTTTATTTAGTCCATTGTGAGAAAGTGGCTCTTTTAAAATAGTACTGAATTCTGGGGCTGGTGAGATGGCTCAGTGGTCTAAAGCACCTACTTAGAACAAGCTAAGC